TTCAAGACAAATGTGTAATAGGATGGCAATTACAACAAATATGTTATAATACATACGTAAAATCCGTACAATTAACATAAGAACTAACTACTAGAACTTATAGGTTTATCTGAAAAGTAAATTGAAGCGCGTTCTAAAACTGAACAATACCATCTAGTGAGAAAAATGTAAAACTAGACTTATAAAAGAAGATCGAACATCAATCTCAACAGATAAAAGTGACGCATCAGAACCAGGTCCCTAATTTCATGGACGGGTTTATGGCTCCATTTGCGAATGTATGTTAGGGAAAAGTGGATTCAAGTAGAGTATATAAACAACATAACTCTTTAAACTATCGCGGTTAATGGTTCACAGTATCACTGAACTTTTACTGTAATGAGGACAATTTAAGCGTTGCTGAAGTTAAAGGAATCAATGGATTTGGATTCAGAAGCCTGCATTCGCAGTCTTAATTTCTGAGAGTCTAAATTCTAAATTCCAGTTCAGAAGTTAGTAGTATTTATGATCTGACCGATGCCAGTTTTTAGTTCATTTGTTTTTTGTTTCTTTTATCTCTACGAAGAAACAATGCTTATTGTTAGTAAATAAAAGTCTATTCATATATCATATTCTGCAACATGAGAGAAGGAAAATATACTTCTTAAATGTAAGTAAGTAAGCAGTAATGCAGCAGTCCGTTATTTGTGTTCACTTCCACATATATTTGATACTTAGCATATTTGTCAAACCCATAACATACTGTATCCAAATTGTTTAACAGAATTATAGCGAATTTAACTTTAGGACAATTAACAATAATAATATAAGCGCTAAAATTTGTGTTCATGAGTAAATAAATGTTACTCTCTCTCTGACATAAACGCTACTAGACAATGTTGAATTAAATTTAGCGCAAAGATAGATCAAATTATAGATTAACATAGACAAAGCCGCTTGAAATAGCTAGCATTACAATCTACGAAAATTAAATCAATATTGACACGGCTTACAGGTGGCAAGCGTTCATGATAACATCTAATAGACTACATATCCTGTTTAGTACTTCAAATGGCCGGTTAGATTAACTGTCAAGGCCCATGGAAACAACAATTGCCCGGTCGTTTCCTCAACTGTATAATTGTTTTGCTAATGTTATGCTTTTGATAAATACGGAACATTGACCAGGAAATACCATATGCTCGTCTACCTAATAGTAACAAATTTTTTGTGACTCATATGGGTATCCACAACCTTCTGTGAAGAACAAATTTGAGCATTGTTGTGTCGATTTGACGAAAGCTAATGTTTAGCATTCATAATAATAACATTCCTGGACAATTCACACATTGCCATCTAGTTCCAAGCTAAGCAGACCTTCTGTTCTGGATACTAGACATTTCTTTTAAATATATTACATAGAAAACATTGAGTTATTTAATAGTAGCCTTATTTTATCGTGTGGAAAAATCTTCAAAAGACCCCTGTCAGATGGTGATGATTCTTACCCACTTAAAAATCACAAAGTGTACCTACGAGCGCCACCGCTGGAGCCTTGAGGTCGCATTAGCATTCTATCCTGACGGATTTAATAATAGCTAATATCCTTCTACTTATAGGAATATACTCTACTTCATTAGAGGGATTACGGGTTCTTATGGTGTTGCAAATGTTTTACTCCCTTTTTGTCCTTTATTCGTATCATCATTGATATTCGTTCATCGAATAGATGGATTAAAAAAAGACCTATGTCCTCAATGACCGGTCTTGCATTTTGGGGTCTGTGGTCATATTTATCGTTGACTCATCGTGTCTTTGACCTCACGTTGCATGACAACATTATAAGATATAGCATAATTTAATTTTCAGTTTGTAGTTATATAAGACTAGCTGTGCCCGCGACTTCGTCCGCGTATTATAGTGACCTTGATCAAATAAAGAAAAATATTCAATAATCTAAACCAAAATGTGAAAAAAGTTTCCTGTCATCTCCCCTTTCAACCCCTTGCAACCCTTATTTCGCATTATAAACTAGCCTATGTCCTTTCTCAGACTTCATAATATCTGTGTACCTATTTTCATTTAATTCCGTTTAGTAGTTTTAGCGTGAAAGTGAGACAGACAGAGTTGCTTTTGCATTTATAATATTAGTAAGGATTGTAAGTCTACTGGACTTCAAAATAGTTAACGGTAGGGAAACAATAAAATTATAATGTAAAAATTTGACGTTCATAAGCGGCTAAAATGTCCTATATGAATAAATGATTTTTGAATTTTGAATTTTGTTATAATTAAAAATGAAACTTAGGGAAAACAGATTGATGCGTGAGAATACAAGGTGAAAATACGTTAGGGGTAAATGTTTCGTAGTCAAGCTGTATTTTTATTAAAAATATTCGAGTTTTATGTGGATTTAAAATACATTACAAGGGTTTCTTTATTTATAAATAAAGTAATGTTATTAGTCACCAAAAATTATGCTAGTTCAGAGGATTTTTAAACTAAATTTGTAATAATATTCTAGAATAGATTCTAGAATAGAATATATATGACGACCTCGGTGGTCTAGCAGTCTAGCACACCGCTTTACGACTGATGGTCGTGGGTTCGATTCCTCGCACGGCACAAACATTTGTATTCTTGAGTATGATTGTTTGTATCGGTCTGGGTGTTTTCTATGTATATTATGTATGTATTTACAAAAACAATCTATGTATATGTATCAGTTATCAAGTACCCATAACACAAGCTTTAGCTAGCTTAACTTGGATCTAGATGGCGTTGTGTGCATTGTCCTGATATTATTATTATTATATATAATAGACTAGAACAAGTCTATTATTAATAAATGACAGCAAAGTAAAGGTGACCCTCTTGTGTAAAGGTGTCTAGTTCGAATTCAGATGGGCAAATTTAGGAACATCATCATTTCAAAATTGACTCACGTGTGATTTTCATAATTATTATTAGTCAGGGTCGTCTGTATTACTTACGTTTTTGTCAGATTAAGAATTTTTGCACCTTATTCTATAGTTACTGAGCTTGCACTCCACATATAAGTAAACAAATATCTCATTAATAATTATTACCTTCAGTGTCACGTTAATTAGTGTTTCAATGTCATCGACATATAAATCATCATTAGCAGATATAACGTAATATAAGGACAAATATGATTGAAAACAAAACTAATTACTATGTATTAAATTTATTATATTACTAGCTACGTCCGCGATTTCATTCGCGTGAAATTTATAGCCTGTGTTATTCGAATGTATAAGCTATATTACTGTAAAGTTTCATCAAAATCCGTTCAGTAGTTTTTGCGTGGAAGAGTAACAAGCGTCCGAAAGTTTGTGTGTGTGTGTGTTTGTTTATAATATTAATACCATATTCAACTTTATAAAACAAATTAGAGAGGTTGAAGAGTAATCGTCTATCATGGTATGGACATGTAATGTGTAGGAACGAGGATAATATTTTAAGGAAGGTGTTACATATGAATGTGGATGGTTATAAGGGCAGAGGAAGGCCGAAAAAGAGATGGTTGGACTGTGTGAAAGATGATATGGTTTAAATAATATGACTAGGGATGAATGGAAGCGAAAAACATATTACGCCGACCATAAATAAATGGGATAAGGAAGAAGCAGATGATGATGATTTAACTTTATAAAACCACCTTCACAGAGAAGCTTCTCAATTTGACTATACTTTTTCAGAGGCAAATCCGCAGCGATTTTCTATACTAGAATATAATGCTACGTATATATATGAAGACAAAATATTTTTTGTATGCTCGTTTGTATCGAATCTATTAATTAAATCAAAGAATACGTTTGTAATTTACATTTCCCGAAGGCAAGAGTTTGTTAGAATTGTGGAGTAATGATTCGACTAGGTTTCCATCTAAACATTACGGTATGCTTTTCAAAAACTTCATTTTTTTTAGTTAAGGCATTTTTTTATTAAAAATGTGATTTCGTATTAATTTCTAATAATAATAATTAATAATGTACCGAATTACATAATAAGGTATGTTTTTATTCATTAATAAAAACATACTTTGAGATCGATAGTACTGCAATGTCAAGTAATTACCATACGTTGCTTCGAGGAAAGAGTCTCGCTTTCGATTTCCGGTCGGGCTAATTTAAGAAACGAATTTTTCTAAATTATCTTCGGTCTACGTATCCCGGGCTGCGGCGACAGATGTCCGCGATCTGGTTACTTTTTTTAATACAAAAATATCCGAAGGACTCAAAGGTCCTATATTTATTTAATAATGTGTATATTGTTTTAATGTTTACTAGCTGTAACCGCGACTTCTTCCGCGTGGAATTTAACTTTATTTTTCTAAAATAAAAGTAGCCTAAGTTACTCCTTATTACATCAGTTACCTGCCAATAAAAGACCCGTCAAAATCGGTCCAGCCATTCCAGAGATTAGCCGGAACAAACGGACAGACAAAAATTGTAAAAAAAATGTTATTTTAGTGTATGTACCGTATTTATATTCATATGCATGTAGAGTAAAACACGGTTATTTCAATATTACAAACAGACACTCTAATTTTATTTGTATGTATAGATAAATAAATTAAATAATAATACCAGCTGTTAGCCGCGACTTTCGTCTGTTTTTGTTTTACTTAATAATAGTCTCTGCCTGGCGATAGACGACTTGGTCTTTGGTTTTTACTTAAGATAGTCTATGCCTCGTGATAGACGTTCAGGCGCTTAGTTAACAAACAGACAAACATACAGACTTCCGTATTTACAATATTAATACGACAATATAGATGGATATAATATTTGTAATTTTATTCTAAACTTTTTATTAGAGTAAGTAGTAGAATAATATTCATGTTTGCATTACTTGCAATTTTATTACCATGCACGCCTTAGATTAGATAATTTATTATGTATTTAATGTATATCCTACTTTATTCTTAACACATTAAAACATAATTTCCATTCAACAGGGCGACAATTTAAAATTCAAAAATGGAACTCGCATACCAAAACAGGGATTCCAAATTCAAAATCCAAAAATATTGCCAATAACGTCACAGATAACTCAATCACAACACTGGACACAGAAACACTATGTCAATGGTACCAACACTTTTTTTTTAATTTCATCCACAAAAGCACTTTCTAAAGGGGTTATTACAAACTGTTTTGACTATAGTCCGCGTCAAGCACACGCCGCTCAGTCCGGGAGACTGACCTACGGAACAGAGCGAGATAAACATGTGGTTAGAACGAGACGGCGACACCGTGCACCTGTGTACTTAAAAATTGAATGATTGTTGAAACGAAACAGATGTAAAACAATGCATACATTTGAAAGGGACAGAGATATAAACGCGCCCGCGTAATGTTCCACACAAAGAAGCCGTAACTGCAATTTCGTGTAATTTATTTTTAACTTTAACGACGTACACATAAAGTTGGTTCTTGTGTTTACGAGTGTTGTTTTAAAGATTTTTCTTTATGAGCTGTAAAGTTTATTGTCAGGGTCAACATATGGCGAAAAGGTTCTGTTGGCCAAATTCCATACAACCAGCCGACTTAACAATATGACGTTTTATACTTAACTATTTAAATTGCATTAGGTTTTTTTATATCAACGACGAAAGCATATTTATTAAATAACCAAATTTAGTAAGAAATATAAACAAAACAATAAATTAGCAAAATAATTTTGTTTAAAAAGAAATTTTGAATGTATTCTTTTAGGTGTATTATTATTGTAATTGTTCTAAGTGTGTATGTATGTATGTATATATGTATATGTAAAAATGGTTGACAATAAATGTTTTTCTTTCTTTCTTTCTTTCTTTCTAGGTTATTTATATTATTAACCGGGTCATAACACGAATAATTATATCACAAATAAAGGTACATATATACCTCTGTCCAGTCAGCTCGTGACCACGGCTGGTGCAACCTAGTCGAATCGAAACGTCACGAGAGGTAAATACCTTTATTTGCCATAAAATTATTCGTGTTAAGACCCGGTTAATAATATAAATAATTAGTAAAAATCATGGGTACCACGTTTTATATTTATTTGCTGAGTTCCCAATATTTCGGCAGTAAAAGTACATATTATGTATGTGAATTAATTCATTGATATACCATAATTGTGTAACGCAACGTAAATAAATAAATAAATAATATTAGCTATTTTGAAAGCAAATAACAAAACGCAGACTGACAGTAACATAGTCAAGCTCGCGATTTCTACAAATGAACATATCTCGTATTTAATTTATAAATTATACATTTAATTAGCATACTAGAATAAAAATGTGCATTTTTATGTAAAAAAAACAATTTACATATTTATTCAGTTACATTAATCATTACATATGTCAGCCGGCAATGACTCATTTGTTTTGACAATATATTAAATTTTATATTACTTAAATAATACATTTATGTACATTTGCAGAAACCGAATAATTTGTACAGTTCATTACATGAATACAATTATTAAGATTTTTTTAATGGGTGCATTTAAACGGTCCACCCACTTGCACTAACGGTATACGGGGCACTAGTGGAAGATGGTAGGATGATCATGAATTCAGGTGCGTTAGCTACTCTACCCCCTAATAGTGTATAAGAGAAAAGGTGAGAACCTACACTATCTTAAACTACCTATCTTGTCTGTAATGCAAATAAACGACTTACTTACTTACTTACTACACACATACTTAACACGATATTTTCGTGGAGAAGGTGAAAGACAGAAGAAAAAAAATGAATCTAAAACAAAACTCAAAAAGAGCATAGACTTAATGGTCTATGGAAAGCAAAAGCGTAATGTTATAAAAAAAAATTGCCCTTCCGTATATCAAATGGCTGAAGTATAAAAATCTATTAATATTATTTATTAATAATGAGAAATTAAACACAACAGAAGAGAAACAAATAAGATAATAAAAAAAAACTCCTTTTATATTATTAACATACTTAAATCGGTCCTTATGATATTATACAAATTACCCCCTCCGATCGAATCCCCGGCCAATTCAAAGGGGGGGTGTCGAAATAACGACCTGAGCCGAGGACCTAACCTCTAGCAGCCCTCAGGCTAAAGCCGTATTCGTCAGACAGGAGTTTGCCTCCGTAAGTTCTACCAAAGGTTTTGGAGTGCCATTTGCACTCACCCTCTATCTTTAGGTGAAGCTGTAACAGCATTAAAATGTTTCGAGAAAAAACCAATTTATCTTCATGTCAAATTCAATTAAGATACCTTCAGCCGTTAAAAGAGACAATCAAACAGACATACATTTGCATTTATACTATTAATACGGATTAATCACCTTCCCACGCCAAAGACTCTCACAAAACATAATTCCGAGAACAAACCCCCACATCCTCAGATTGTGAGATCAAACCGATTTCACTGGTGCAAATTCTTCGGAGGAAACGGCGGGTTCACGTGAAGACAATGTTTATACTATAGGAACACTGCTTTGCATCATTGAGGCGCCGCGGCGCCGGCCATGTATTGCGGTAAAAAAAATAACCATTCATGAGATGAGTAAACAAACAAATCGGCCAACAGATCGACATTATGTACACAGGTAGTAATATTAATTTATTAAAAAAAAACCTTTAAACTATTTTTATTTATTTCATTTTCTATTATAAGTTTAAGTCAAGCGCCATCTATTATAATTTTAGTTTATATGTCACATATACATATGTATGTACTGAAATACATATATGTAACATTTGTGTTTTTCTTATCTAAAATTCGCTTACAGATAAAAACCGCTTTTGTGTTATCTCTTTTTTCATTTCAAGTTTTAAGTTCATTTGCTATAGCACATTAAGGAAAAGGTTGGAGTCGTGTCGTATTAACAAGTAAAGAGATTGGAAAATCGTGGAAAATGACAAGATCTCCACCGACAAGAGAGTGGCTCTTAAATTATGAAAGAATTAACAAATAAAGATTATTTATATTCCACTTTTCAAAAACGGGCAATTCGTTTGAAAAATAAAAGTTAAAACTCGTATCCGCCATCAAATAAATCACTTCGCATGAAAGCAAGCTCATGCTATATTTGTTTACTATACAATTAATACATCTTTTACCTGTTGTTTTGAGAATACATTATTAGATTTATAAATATTACCTTAACATTTCCAAGTAAGACTGAGGCAAAACCCTAGACCGACCTAGAAATAAATCTACAGTTTTTTTTGTGTAACTGGAATAATAAACAAGCTGATGATAGGCGGAAAGAGGATTCTTAGTAATGAGAACTGATGACGACAGGTCAGGATCATCCCCACGCGGTTAGCTCTGGAAATCATCGTGATAAACTCAAGGTGAATTTGTCAAGATCGGCTAACCTCATGTTCATGTTATCATCCTCAACTGGTATCCCGCCAGAATATACCATTAGCGTGGGCGCACCATTGATCGACTATTTTTGGGATGATAATAGTGCATCATTCAATTATCATCCTTGAAAAAAACCGGCGCCTATATAGATGAAAAGCGTTACAGATATCACGTCAACATATGACGGTCGTGACACCATGCGTTGCCATTCCAGAGGTCATGTCTCTGATTCTGTAATTGCACTACCGCATCAGTACTCTACAAACGTTGATGAAGGTCAGATTAAGATATTATGTCAGATTACTAAATTCCTGGCATTAGAAACAAGTAGAACTTAGCTTTGTATAAATACTCCATTCCTCCACTCCTGATATTTAACTAGTAAACATAATAAATTATTCTTAAACATGCCATCCATGACCGATCCCCCGTCCAATACAAACGGGGATCTAAATTAACAGGGCCTGAGTCAAGATTCGAACCCCTAGCGGTGCCCTCAGATTAAAGTCGTATCCATCAGACAGGAGTTGGCCTTAAGCCGCTCCATAAGTCTTTCCGCAGGTTTGGAGTGCCATTTGCATTCGTCCCCTATCGTCCGTTGAAACTGTAAAGGCCAACTGCGGCCAACAGCATTAGAGTCGTTCGAAAAAATATCTTAAACATTCATAATACTGTAAACACTGACGAATGAGTTCAGGTATAACAGCTGATAAGGATCAATGCAAAAGATAAACACGCCGCCAATCCCAAATCAAAACAAAGGCAAGGTAAGGAGAGAGAACATTGTATTTATGTCTTTAGACAAACTTTACCTCAATACTTCCAAGGAATTAAGTCTACAATAGCCAATAGGTACAACAAACTGTGGGTGTGACGTAATGGACAGATTTACAACTTCCCCGAGGCCTGCACCAACCAGTGATACCATTGGCGATTTAGCCCCCAAATTAAAGGGACATTTTTGGCGATGGCAGTGATAAGGGAGGACGAATGTGTGAGAGGTTTCGTATAAAGAAAAAAACAAATTGGAGGGTCTTGCATGTGATTTCTTGCGGAATGTATACCTAAAAAAAGAGACTAAACAAGTTCTGGCTAAAGCAATAGCTTTCCAAAAAGTCGTCATAGTACAGACTTCATAATTGAGGAATTTTTCTTCAAAACCTACATTTTGGGGAGACTGATTCGATGGGAACTAGACGATTATTTGGCAACACTAAAACAAACTATCAATTACTTCGTTTCTATATTAATATCATTTCCTCGCAATCCATTAAGATCTATGAATTCTTAGAAAGCATAGATCTAACGGACGGATAATTTTCATATCATATAATCATCATGAGATGTTTTATTAGCTGATAGATGACTCGTTTCTATGGAGATACATTTAATAATAATAACCCTGGACACAAAGCGTCCTCCAGTCCTAAGTTAAGCGGAGGTTGTCTTATGGGTACTAGACAACTGATATAAATACATAAATATTTCTTTATAAATACATTTCTGGCGGCCTCTTAAATAGGTTAATCAGTAACCTGTATTTAAGAGTCTCAGCTCCATATATAATAACAATATTTTATTTACGCAATCTTTGTAGGAAATACAAAACCATAGTAAGTTCATTAAATTCCCGTGCACAATTATATTATTAAACTTACAATTTAAAATTACTTTAGATTTTAAATTGAATACACATATAGTCCTAATTAAACATATTTCTTTTGACAACTGGTTAAAAACAATGAGTGAGCAAGTCTTTGATCTCAAAATGACGGGATAATCTGCGCTGCAAAATTTCACAAAACCGAACGAAACAATAATGAAAGAAACCCCAAG